CGACGGTCCCGCCTGCTCAAAGTCCATCGAGTTGGCCTGGTAGAGCGAGGCCGGTGTGACGCCTTCCGCAGCCGCTTCAGCCCCTGCGGGTGGCCAGCCTGCACCCAGCTTCCCCAGCGCCGTGGCCAGCAGGCTTCGGTTGGGGTTAGGCCGATCCGCGCGTTCGGCCCTCTCAGCTCTTTCGGCTCTTTCGGCCCTGTCGGCTCGCTCCACCCTTTCTGCACGCTCTGCGCGCTCCCGTTCGGCGCGTTCGACGTCCGGGGTCTGCGAGGGAGTCGGATGCTCGTCTCCGTTGGTGGTCGGAGGTGGCGGCTCGTCGGCCGCAGGAGCGGAGTCCCGTGTGTCCGCGTCGGACTCGACGACAGGCTCGGCGGCTCCAGAGCTTCCCCCGGAGTCCTTCATCGCGTTATCGGCCAGACCCTTGATCTGAAGACTCTCTGCCGTCTTGAGGAACTGCGCCAAGTCATCTTGCTGGACGTTTATCTCTCCCCGATACATGAACTGCAGGAGTGACTCCATGTCACAACTTCGCACATCCTTCAGGAAAACAATCGGATGCTTACAGGGATTCTTCATCAGAAGGTCCTGGAAGTAAGGACTGCACGCAGAAAGGATCACCTTGTGTGCTGAGAAGCTCTGTCCCTCGCAGGCTAGTGTCACATCGATAAAGGCCTCCTGGTTGAGAAGATAATCGAGTACAGAGACCACCGTGGGCTGGTGGTTGTTCCATTTCAACAGGAACTGAGAGTTCTCCATGGTGGTGGGTGAGGAGACGGCTTGTCCTGATGGAAAATTGGGCGGTTCTGGTGCGGCTACACGTTCAACGGCTCAGTAACATTGCTTGGCGGGTGTCTGAAACAGAGAGGCGTCGGTGTCAAGGGTGGAATGAACACGAGTAACGCGGAGAGGTCATCGAAATACTGTTCGTGCACCATGCATTGAGCGGTTATTTCTGGTTTGCGAGTAACACGCGTATAGGTAACATCACTTTTTATCTGGAATGTTTCGCAAACGTAAAAAATATCGCAAGAAGACGAGTAAATTAGAAGAAAGTAATACGACAACTTAGGGAGCAAAATGTCCCCCAGACCAGACCTTCGTTGCTTTTGCAATCAATGCGCAACCAAACATCGCCTCTTGATACATTTGAGCTAAATGCTCAAAGACTTTCACCACGAAGCATTGAAACAAAACAAACTGCTCTAAAATTCACCTAACTAAAATGAATTAGAGTAGATTGCTCTGAAAAAATCGTTTATTCTGTATTCAGTTCAAAGCTTAACAATGAACTATCGATATACTATGGAATGATGACAGAGGCTTTTCCGGCAATGGCGCCACAAAAGGGCTAGTTGGTAATTAATTACGGAACTTTAGAGTGGTAATTTGGATTTCCCAAAACACTTACATGTAAGCATTGTCATAGGTGATAGACCAAACATGCAGTCCACTATAACCAGAGTGTTAACGGGACCAAAATGGGGCTAGCTTACAACTCCAATTGTGTGCACACGAAATGACTCCATGCCACTCATGTTAGAACGAGACACTGCGAGAAGACGGTATCTATAAAGCAATAAATTGGTTTTAGTTTCTGGACAGTGGACACAGCAGCACTAGCATAAAACGTGGCAACGATATCATTCGATCACTCAAAGTTCTGAGCGATCAAAACGTACCTAAGCGTCCAAAAGCGGACGTTCCTTTCCGAAACATCCCACATTTTTCCGATCATTTTCTTCCCCAACTAATAATGCAGAGGATACCAATTTCCTTTTCCGTGAGGCCACCCCCGACAAGGAAAGTGTCAACAATTCCCTACACCGTCCCCCATTTCCTGATAGTGCTCCCCGAAAATGGTGTAACACTTCGCCAAAAATACACCGGCAGCTGATGTAAATCGAGTGTACAGTCGCACCAAATTTCGACAACATCCGGCTTCGGAAAACGTAATATCGGGTCTGCCTGGCAATGTGTCGTCGAAAAGAAATCGTTTGATTCATGTCCCGTCGGTTTTAAAACTGCTTATAGAAAATAACAGCCTAAACTAACAAGAAAATGTGTACCTAGCCTGATCACGTTTCTCATTTCTATTCACGAGTGAGCGCAAATTGCGAGCGGCATAAATAAAAATATCACAAAGTACATAGAGCGTTTCACGATCAGTCAAGCCCCTCTGAAATGGCGCAGCTTTCTGGTAGGGCGCCTTCATTTACTATTGCCAATTGGTCTTACAACCATTGAATTTTTGAAAACATATGTTGCGCTACAAAGTGAAGCAAGTTACATCTCATGGCTCAATTCCAACGAAACATTGCTTTTTGGTTCACTCTCGCATCTTGGCCCGAAGCCTTTTACCGTAACAACTTCGAAGAATGCCAGGTGACAGGTGCAAATATCGTTCCTTGTGACAATCCACAAACATTAACACCTCATGGCCCTCATGGCAGGCACTACTACAAAACTCCCAGCAGAAATAAAGAAACTCAGCACACACAAACCCCTCTACCACCAAACTATCCATCCCCTCCCACCCCACCTCCCTCCCTTTCCTACCTGTCCACGGATCCCGGGCGCGGAGCGGGCACACCCTCCCTCGGCGCCGTATGGCGAGCACCTGCGGCCTGGCCGGACGAGGCGCCCGCTTCACCCAGCACGGCTGGCGGGTCGATAGGCGCAAGGGTGAAGGACCGCCGTCCGCCACCGCCCTCGCCGCCCGCCGCCGCCGCCGCCGCCAGGCGCCCAGGAAGGCGGAACTTAGCAGCCGCTGGCGATGCCAGTGTTCGACGCTGGGAAGAAGGTGGGATCGAGTCAGAGGGAGGTGAATGAATGGTGGGTGGAACAGGTGTCTTTGAGGACGCGTGAGGTGGTATGGCAATGACAAAATCGATAGGTTTATTGCGAGTATGGTCATGGGCACTGAACTTGATAGTGTTACCAACCCTGGTTTCCTCAGATTGTTTACTATTATTTTACTATTTTTTACATATAATGTGTCAAGATTGTGTGAAGTTAGTAAATATAAGCTCTCCTCGGTCAAAGCGGATATTTGGTGCCACATGGTGTTTTTTTTCAGCTTAACTCATTATGGTACAGATCCAGCTGAATTTCAGCATCCCTGGCCTTTGCTTCACGCCGGATCTTGTGATGCCAAGGGCATTTTCATAAGGTCAGAGCACTGGCCTATGGCGACATGCGTGAACCTCTGCACGGTTCAAACTTGTCGGAAGTTTGTAGCTAGCGCCCCCAATGCAGGGCAATTTCTGGCAACGAGAAACCAGTAAGCAGCAAAGCTCTAGATCCGTCAATTTATATTTCTCGGAGTTCAGTCACTTAAAGTCGAGTTTGATCCACGTGTCCACTCTCCACCATGTTCTGCTCAACTTCCGAACGGATGGTCGTAGAAAGACGGGGAAAGCGGTAGTCGAAAGCTCTAAACAAGACGTGTTTTTAAGCAAGACGTTTTTCATAGAGGTCACCCGTCATGTGAACGTCTGTCGAAAAATCAGAATCGGAAAAAGCATTTGTTTCGGAATCCAGTCGGTGCAGTCCCTGTTTTCCACATGACACCCTATTGTGGCAGAATTCGGTATGCACTCCTAGTCTTATAACTATTCTTTAATTCGTAGACTCACGAATATCTCATCTCAGCGGATTGCGGAAAGGTATTTCGGTGGACTATCGATTGTTTGGCTCTCACCTTCCACCTTTTCGTTCACGAGCTACACCGTAGTTACTCCGATGTCGATTTGTCATCGACTGTCACTAGGTTATAAAACGTTTGATGATTGCTTATCTCGTCCTTTTAGGCCTTGTCGAAAATATGGCCGAATAACTTTCGATAGACATTCCTGTCAGCTCCCGCATCTCGTTCGCCTAACCATATATATACCTACCTGTTCCAAATACGTTGCTCGGTTTTCAGTTTTCACATCTGGGGCAAGGAAGGATCCGTCCTTCATATGTTGGCGCCCTTGTCATGAGGATATTATGAGGGCCCCATATCTTATCGCAAATCTTCATCATTCAATGCACACCTACACCTGCTCAGTGAAGGAGCAGAAATTTGAAAAAGGTGAACTTTTTCCAGTCGAGCACTGTCAGGTGTTGGTTGGAGGAACCACATCCAAGACGATACTTCGCGGACCTGCGACCACACCACGCCACCTGTCGGTAAAGAGCTCAACCATTCCAGACTGGTTCGCCAGACGGCGGGGCGCCACAGGCACCGACAGGAGCCAACGAAATATATCAGTTGGATGGTTATCTGCAGAGGACTAGTGTGTTCACGTGGATTCGACCCTAAAATCTCTTTCCAGCCAGTGTACTCGTTATGAATCTAAAATGTGGATGAATATTGGCGACAGTTGAATGCGAGCTAGCAAATAAACAAATTGCCAGCACGGAATGCAGGCCTTAGTATTAGCAGGCCCTTGGTTTCTGCACTAGCGCTCCATTTGTAGTTCAACTCAGCCCAATGTCTCTCCTCTATCCTTTAAGTCTTCTCTTAGAAATAGAATCAGAGATGAAATACCGAAAGGACCCAGTGGCATCCCTCACAGGTCAGTAAAGAAAACAAAAAGGGCTTCAATACCGTTGAATATCTAATTCCCGCCAGCATAAATGTGTGTCAAGGGACTATACAATACATATACGCAAATTTCACGGTGACAAAGAGAACAAGAACCTATAGGGTGATCCAAACGCCCACATATACACATCCCCCTTGGCCATAACTTGGCTCTAGGTGACGCCAGAGAGAGCTAGCAGAGAAGCTCAGATGCCTAATATTGGCACAACGTTGTCCACCCTAGTCCAGGTAGCGCTGGCAAGTAAGCGCGACTAAATGGGGCAAAAATCACCACGAAATTGTTAGAAAGGGGTACCAGTTCTTGGCTGGAAAGTAGGTTTCAATCAGAACATACGGGGACAGCGAACGACACTACAACCATGGTTGTGCGATTTAAATAATTAGTTTTTCTTTTCCTTCACTCGCCACTTGGATGCACTCTTTGGAATATATTTGCTACAACGATTTGTTCTTCCTTAGGTATTCAGGTATGAACATGGTACTATTCACTCATTCAGATCCTTGCAAATCACGATAAAACTGGTAATATGAACACACTGCGCAAATCATGATGCAAAAACGTGACATTTGAAATACCTAAGCGTGGTTGAAACCTTACAAGTTAGAGCCTAGCTTGATTCTAGTGAGGTGAAGAGGCGTAAGTTTGGCTGGGCCGAGCAAATGTTGGCATGAAACTGATCTCACCAGGTTTAAGTCAGTCTGTCTGTAACACTACGTTGAGAGTCATTGTTGGTAAGTGATCCCGGTTCGAGTCTTTGCTACAGCTACCTCTATGCAAACAAATAACTGCAAGCAGCATATCTATACAGCGCAAATGAATCATCAAACTCATAAACAGCCGGAGAAGTGAGCACAAAAGCAAACATCAAAAATCGACATAACTAAGTTCTTGGCTCCTACAAAACTGTTCACAAGATAAGCAACTAGAAAATGCGCAACAATGCATAGTTAAAAATAGTGGTGTCAATCGGAACTTGAATCTTCGGAATTCCGATTTTGTCCAATGTCCAATTCGGAATTCGGTTGGACAATGGCAGCAGGCTTTGGACAACTTTGGACAATCGCTTGCTGCACCTCAACATTTTTAAAAAGTAGTCGTGTTTAACATTGATTGGCTATTAGAAAGCTCAGCTTTCGATATGATTAACACTTTTGAGCTTGTAACGGTACATGAAAAGCAAATTAAATAACAGTGTTGAGTGTAAACTACTGCATAGGTGTCGGACATCTTTGGACAAATGGCTGGCTTGGACATTTTTGGACGGACAATCGACGTAAGCATTGGACATTGGACGGACTTTGGACATACGTTTTCTGAAATTGACACCACTAGTTAAAAATAAAACATCGGCTTCGGAGGAAATGCCACTTTTGTAGCCAAACCATAGTAGTATGAAACAGAACACAACCTTCAAACGCGCATCGTGACAAAACGCATTCCCTACTAAGAATAACTCAACTCTGATTGTTTGTAACGCAAAAAGCTTATGGTAAAATCATACCGATCACGTGCTTCTGGTCAAACAAGTTGCCTCTCGTAATGTTCTCAAGGACTTAAACAACAAAACCTTGTCTGAGTGTTCAACAAAGAAATCGGTATCCTTTTCCACCGCAGCGTCACCGTTCTTCAGAACCTTCTTCGCGGCACAAACTCTCATCTAAGCGACGGTACACTATGTAGTATGTACCTCAGCACTCTCCTGCTTCGGCGTATCTGAGGAACCCATCGCATGACTGTCCACCTTCGGTACATCATCAGTGTGCGTTGCTTGTTCACAAACGCTCGACTCCGGCTCAGTGTTGGAAGGAAGAGCCTCAGTCTGTCCACCCGGCTCCTGCTGTCCGTTGACATCCCAACCGCTGAAGCTGAGCTCCGGGTACTCCAAGCTGTTGGTGTACTCCACGAGTTCCTGTTGTCCAGTACAGGTGAGAACAGGGCCCCCGCTGAAGGCGACCAAGTCGTTGCGTAGCTTGCGGCGACCGTTTCTGAACTTGTTTAATAGCCTCATTCTTACAACATTCTGGAAAGGAGTTGTAAAACAAATTAGTTGATTGATGTTACACATGAGTGCATCGGTACCCATCACCGTTTCTAGAGCAAAATTCTGAAAACTTGGCAATAAGATCGTCAAAAAACCAATCCTAATGAAAATAGATCAATATGTAACAAATCATAACTATAACACATTAAGATTGATTTGATTACTGACAACTGTTTCATAAACTATACGCGCTGATGTAGCGTATTCAATGACTTGAATTATATACTTACAACGAAGTGCTGAACGTCCTTGCCTTCGGCAAGGTACGGGAACTGGAAGACCAGCGACAGGCCCATTTTGTTGTACCATCCACAGGACCCACTCACACTGGAACAGAAGGGAACACTAGTTATCCTCTAGCATACAGTGCTTTTGATCACGATGGCAAAAATGCGTTCTCGTTGTTGTTATAACATAAGCCGAACGTGATTTTGGATCGACTTATCTGCAAGAACTTTTGTGTAGAGTCCCATGATGAACACTTCTTTTTAGATAAGAAATGCTCTTGCTGTGTATGGGAGGAAATAAAGAGCTGAGGAAAATCCCCCTAGCAAAAATCGACTGGCTTCCCATTATTTGAAATGGCCAAGTGATGTGATGAGTTGGTGACAACCAATATTGTATTGTATTGTATTGTATTGACAAAGGCAGACAACTCCACATGGGCGTGGCTTTTGTATGTCTCCAGTCGCAGAGAGTTAAAAAGAAAACATACATCAGGGTAAAATGGGAATACAATTTACCGTCAGAAATCACACACCCACGCACACAGACACCAAGCACTCGTCATACGTAATCAGATCACCGACAATAACAGCCTCTCGGAACCCATCATGGAAGTGCACCTTTCCCGCTCTCTTAAAACTGTCCGGGTCGAGATCTAATATTCGATTTAGAGGGCGACTAAATAACATAGGCCAAAGGCAACCAGCGGATAGGCTTACGAGACAAATAGTAAGCAATAACCTCATCCCCATAGGCACTTGTAAAGAAGACCAGTGAATGTGGGGATGCCAACGCAACGGAGCTGGAAGCTATACAAAAATAAGAGTAAAGGAGTGAGTTATTATTCAATGCTTAACATCTTTAGTCTAAAACTATTTATGGGCAACACACTCTAGCAGCATTTCCAGCAAGTCACAATGAGGGTCAGAGATTGTAGCTCAAAAGGGTGTTAGACACCCATAGACAGAAAAAGAAAATCCACGGGGTCTGACGCAACAGAAGCTCTATATAACAGTACTTAATCCCATGCTAAGGAATCCCATCACTCACACATACATAATGAAACCCATGAAAAATATACGAGTGGCTAGATCATCAAATAACAAACGGCTGGCCGTGAGTAAGCCCGGGCCCTGGCAACACGCGGAAGCTCAGATCGTAACTAACATATCCATCTTCCTCACAACACCCACATGAAACACTAAACTGGCTAGCTGTCGGCTTCCAGGAGCCTGGCAGCTTCCGGTGTGTGGGTGGACCAATATGGTCGACCGTTACTTAACCGCAACGATAAAATTACCAGCAACATGAGCAGAGAGCATCGTAAATATGCATAACAAACGAAGCACTGTACGAAGTGTACAAGGAAATCCTTTCGTATAACATAATTAACTGCTTATTTATCATAACAAATGAGTATCAATGAATTGATTTCTACGTAGTATCAACAACTTGCGGGGCAATTAATTTTACAATGACTGCTATTTTATAAATGGATTGGCGTACACACGTTAGATATTCGAGGAAACATTGTTAAAACCTTACTGGACGTCCCTGAAGTGCTCGTAGATGGCATTTGTAAGGGCTCTCCAGTCGGATCGCTCCAGAGGCATCTGGTTCTCCAGCTTTTCCCGTATGAAACCGGGAAAGATGGTCCTGTCCAGTTCAGCAGGTGCTCTGGGGATTAAAAAGAAAGGCACTGTTGACACTGCCGCATGGGGTGTGAACGTTTACTGTATGCCTGGCTTATTCAAATACACTAGCCGGAGGGCGTGGTTTAAACGAAGTTTAGGTACACTGGTCACTGGTGTAAGCAAAGTGACCACAGTCAAAAATGTTCACCAGTTTGCACTCAGCCAACATTTTGGGAAGGTCTCGTTCGGATGTCGGCTAACAGTTTCGGTTTAGAAAATTATTTGTATCGTTAACCCTAATTGTAAGCACTTATTGTGAACTACATCAAACATTTGCCCAATGCCCATATCGAGCACTAAGCAAGCAACACAGCATTGAAGTACTTGGCACGGGATTCCTTACCCAGAGTAGGGCACACGTCGTGGTCTTCCTCTGTGACTTAGCCTCCAACCTCGCCCCTGAGGAGGAAAAGGAGCTCATCCGAACGAAGTCCGAAAAAAACATAATTACCTGATGATAAATCACTTCCCATCAAGATTATGAACAAAAACATGATAAAATGACGAAGCAACGATGCAAAAAACAATTTTCATTTAGAACTGAAAGAACTGTCAACGGTAAAAATGATGTGTTTCTGAGCCTCGTTTCGCTCTATGCACCTAAGATGCATTTAATTGCTATTCATTTTCATTTCATCCACCACTGCTACATAAGTAAACACCGGCCAGAAAAATACATGAAAATGGAAGAAGAGGTGCTGAGAGGTTGTAGAGGCAAATGTCTAGCACGGGTCACTTTATGGTCATTGAAATGTTCTGACATGTACCGAGAGATACGAAGCTAAAAGGAGCATCCATATGCATTATGCATGCTGACTCGACACAACATTATACGATAAAATATTGCAAAATGAAGTGCGTACCTATATAAAAGAGCAAACACTTACAGGTGGACGGTTGGTCGCATCTCGACGGGCAGTCCAGACCTCTCCAGCTCGGCCTGGAAACATAGCGTGTTCTTCAGCACGTACCCAATGAAACGAAAACCAGGGACTCACCTTTAATTAAGAATATGTAAGTGCATGAGTGCCAAACAACACAAACGTTTCGGCACAAACAACACAGACGTTTGATTACAACTGATATTTCTTTATGCTGTAAGCTAGGACAAGAATGAAAGACGAAACGAAAAACGAAAGACAGCGAAAATGATGCACGGTAACGTTGAAATCGGTACGTACTGGATTAATCTTAGTCCATTCAGAGCCTGAGTCGATGGTATCCGAGCTCCGCTGCTACTGCACGTGCTTTTGGTTCTACGCCGCTGTGTAGACTCGGTCGAAACACGGTATATAAGCTCAGAAAACGTGTATTTCGGCAAATCAAAAAGACGGGGTCAAGATATTATAATCCAAAAGACAGAGTCAAGGAAACACACACAACAAAAGCGCCCTGTCTCCCTTCTCCACGACGGTAAACACGTGTCGCTCAAACACGTCCAAAGTCTCAACACGTCCCAATGCAACACGTCTCACACTCTCAGAGCGCTAGCTTTTCCTCCAACAGCGTCGTTTTCGTTCATTCTGGCGTCTCTCCAGTGGCGTCATCCTCGTCAGCGGCTGAGGTCTGCTCCGCGTGTCCAATCTTCTTCTTGCGGGACGGCAGTACTCCCCTGGTGCGATCCCGGGACCCAGAGAGCCACTTGGACATCCTGCGGCTAACATCCGCCCTTGAGGCACCCCAGGCTGTGTGAAGGACGTCTGAAAACACAGAGCAATAGGTATGATGTTTAATTATATGACCCAAGCTATGTTCAAAACGTATCGTGTTTGTTGGGTTTTAAAAGGTGTGATAACAGTGGGGCCATTATGGGCCTGTTTATAAGATAGGCAAAAATAAAAAGCACTGTTACCTAGCGGTACAACAGCTACAGTGCGCTGGAGACAAATAAAATTTCATAAAAGAGGTTAACCCACGAGCCGCTGGGGGGGGGGGGCATAAAGTTGCCCCCCCCCCCCTTTACGTTTTGTGAAATATCTCCGTAACCTGATGAGCTACGAACGTGAAACTTGGCATAGCTTCAAATGAATAGCTAGGCAATGTTTGAGGAAAGTTTGGTGGTTGTAGCACCTAAGATGACGTCACAGTGACGTCATAAAGTTTTGTCGTTTTCCGATATGGACCGTTTCTGATGACGCTGAGCATGAAACTCAACTGTAAATGAACTAAATAGCACCTGCTGTCATCCTTAAACATCTAACTACACTTCCATCTAGTTTCTGACCAATAATCGACCCTTTATATTCGGTCCCATATATCTGATGTATCGTGAGGAATATGAGAGTCTCAAATCTATAATTTCACTTATGACGTCACTGTGACGTCATTTCAAATGGGATCGACACCAAATTTGGACACAACCTCGGCTAGGTATTCAGGAAGGTGTGTGCAAAGTTTCGCTTCTCTATCTCTTCGCGTTGCGACGATAGCGTCGCAGAAGTAAAGGGGGGCAACTATATGCCCCCCCCCCCCCCCCCAGCGGCCGGCGGGTGGCGCGGAGGCCCAGCGGCCGCGGACAACACTATTCGACCGCCACCCTTGCAGCCATTCTATAACTCAGGAACTACTGGACCGATCGGAACGAACGAAACACCATTCGAATCAGGGAGTACGATTTTATCAGCCGTTTCGAAGCTCGTGACCCCAGGTGACCTCGGTGACCTCAAGAGGTCAACTCGGCATTGACGCCTATTGCAGCCATTCTATAACTCAGGAACTACTGGGCCGATCGCGACGAAAACACCACCAATCGAATCCGCGTATGCGATTTCATCAGCCGTTTCGAATATGGTGACCTCAGGTGACCTCGGTGACCTCAAAAGGTCAACTTAACGTTTTCGCCTATTGCAGCCATTCTATAACTCAGGAACTACTGGGCCGATCGTGACGAAAACAACCCCAGTCGATTCCGCGTATGTGATTTCATCAGCCGTTTCGAATATGGTGACCTCAGGTGACCTCGGTGACCTTGGGAGGTCACATGACCAATGTGGCCTATGGCAGCCATTCTATAACTCAGGAACTACTGGGCCGATCGTGACGAAAACACCACCAGTCGATTCAGCGTATGCGATTTCATCAGCCGTTTTGAATATGGTGACCTCAGGTGACCTCGGTGACCTTGGGAGGTCACATGACCAATGTGGCCCCTATGGCAGCCATTCTATAACTCAGGAACTACTGGGCCGATCGCGACGAAAACACCACCAGTCGAATCAGCGTATGCGATTTCATAAGCCGTTCTGAATATGGTGACCTCAGGTGACCTCGGTGACCTCAAAAGGTCAACTTAACGTTTTCGCCTATTGCAGCCATTCTATAACTCAGGAACTACTGGGCCGATCGTGACGAAAACACCACCAGTCGATTCAGCGTATGCGATTTCATCAGCCGTTTCGAATATGGTGACCTCAGGTGACCTCGGTGACCTCAAAAGGTCAACTTAACGTTTTCGCCTATTGCAGCCATTCTATAACTCAGGAACTACTGGGCCGATCGTGACGAAAACAACCCCAGTCGATTCCGCGTATGTGATTTCATCAGCCGTTTCGAATATGGTGACCTCAGGTGACCTCGGTGACCTTGGGAGGTCACATGACCAATGTGGCCTATGGCAGCCATTCTATAACTCAGGAACTACTGGGCCGATCGTGACGAAAACACCACCAGTCGATTCAGCGTATGCGATTTCATCAGCCGTTTTGAATATGGTGACCTCAGGTGACCTCGGTGACCTTGGGAGGTCACATGACCAATGTGGCCCCTATGGCAGCCATTCTATAACTCAGGAACTACTGGGCCGATCGCGACGAAAACACCACCAGTCGAATCAGCGTATGCGATTTCATAAGCCGTTCTGAATATGGTGACCTCAGGTGACCTCGGTGACCTCAAAAGGTCAACTTAACGTTTTCGCCTATTGCAGCCATTCTATAACTCAGGAACTACTGGGCCGATCGTGACGAAAACACCACCAGTCGATTCAGCGTATGTGATTTCATCAGCCGTTTCGAATATGGTGACCTCAGGTGACCTCGGTGACCTTGGGAGGTCACATGACCAATGTGGCCTATGGCAGCCATTCTATAACTCAGGAACTACTGGGCCGATCGTGACGAAAACACCACCAGTCGATTCAGCGTATGTGATTTCATCAGCCGTTTCGAATATGGTGACCTCAGGTGACCTCGGTGACCTTGGGAGGTCACATGACCAATGTGGCCTATGGCAGCCATTCTATAACTCAGGAACTACTGGGCCGATCGTGACGAAAACACCACCAGTCGATTCAGCGTATGCGATTTCATCAGCCGTTTTGAATATGGTGACCTCAGGTGACCTCGGTGTTCTTGGGAGGTCACATGACCAATGTGGCCTATGGCAGCCATTCTATAACTCAGGAACTACTGGGCCGATCGTGATGAAAACACCACCAGTCGATTCAGCGTATGCAATTTCATCAGCCGTTTCGAATATGGTGACCTCAGGTGACCTCGGTGACCTTGGGAGGTCACATGACCAATGTGGCCTAAGGCAGCCATTCTATAACTCAGGAACTACTGGGCCGATCGCGACGAAAACACCACCAGTCGATTCAGCGTATGCGATTTCACCAGCCGTTTCGAATATGGTGACCTCAGGTGACCTCAGTTCCTGAGTTATAGAATGGCTGCCATAGGCCACAACGGTCATGTGACCTCCCAAGGTCACTGAGGTCACCTGAGGTCACCATATTCAAAACGGCTGATGAAATCGCATACGCTGAATCGACTGGTGGTGTTTTCGTCACGATCGGCCCAGTGGTTCCTGAGTTATAGAATGGCTGCCATATGCCACAACGGTCATGTGACCTCCCAAGGTCACCCAGGTCACCTGAGGTCACCATATTCGAAACGGCTGATGAAATCGAATACGCTGAATCGACTGGTGGTGTTTTCGTCGCTATCGGCCCAGTAGTTCCTGAGTTATAGAATGGCTGCAATAGGCCACATTGGTCATGTGACCTCCCAAGGTCACCGAGCTCACCTGAGGTCACCATATTCGAAACGGCTGATGAAATCGCATACGCTGAATCGACTGGTGGTGTTTTTGTCACGATCGGCCCAATAGTTCCTCAGTTATAGAATGGCTGCAATAGGCCACATTGGTCATGTGACCTCCCAAGGTCACCGAGGTCACCTGAGGTCACCATATTCAAAACGGCTGATGAAATCGCATACGCTGACTCGATTGGTGGTGTTTTCGTCACGATCGGCCCAGTAGTTCCTGAGTTATAGAATGGCTGCCATAGGCCACATTGGTCATGTGACCTCCCAAGGTCACCGAGGTCACCTGAGGTCACCATATTCGAAACGGCTGATGAAATCGCATACGCTGATTCGATTGGTGGTGTTTTCGTCACGATCAGCCCTGTAGTTCCTGAGTTATAGAATGGCTGCCATAGGTCACAACGGTCATGTGACCTCCCAAGGTCACTGAGGTCACCTGAGGTCACCATATTCAAAACGGCTGATGAAATCGCATACGCTGAATCGACTGGTGGTGTTTTCGTCACGATCGGCCCAGTAGTTCCTGTGTTATAGAATGGCTGCAATAGGCGAAAACGTTAAGTTGACCTTTTGAGGTCACCGAGGTCACCTGAGGTCACCATATTCAAAACGGCTGATGACATCGCATACGCTGATTCGACTGGTGGTGTTTTCGTCGCGATCGGCCCAGTAGTTCCTGAGTTATAGAATGGCTGCCATAGGCCACATTGGTCATGTGACCTCCCAAGGTCACCGAGGTCACCTGATGTCACCATATTCGAAACGGCTGATGAAGTCGCATACGCTGATTCGACTGGTGGTGTTTTCGTCGCGATCGGCCCAGTAGTTCCTGAGTTATAGAATGGCTGCCATAGGTCACAACGGTCATGTGACCTCCCAAGGTCACCGAGGT